ACTTTCTTTTTTTTTTGATATTTTCTTCTTTTTCGTGCGTGCGGTAAAAGTTGCAGGCTTGCTGACATTACTATTGACTGACGTTATTTAAAACAGCTTTCAGAGCTGTCTGGAATTTATTAATAGGTTAAACACTAAATATAATTAAAGCTGTTGCTATTGGTGCTCCAGTGGTCTTGCCGTTGTTATTGCTATTGATGCCGTTGGAATTGTTATTGCTTATTGGTTTTTCGTTCTTTCTTTCTGGTTAAAAAAAATATTTTTCATTGACTAATTGAATTAACTAAATGAATATCTGTTGATCATAGATCATTTGAAGGAACAGAAAAAAATGTCAGTAGTTATGTTGTTACGAGTCAAAAGAACTATATCTAATTTGTCGAATACTCTATTAGTAATACTGATTATTGGCAACGGAGAAAAAAATAGCTGCTTTTGCGTTGCAACAGTTTAATCGAATTCGAATTTGGCAATGTTACAAAAGATTGTAATACGGAAGGGGAAATTGTTGCTGTTATCGCTTCCTTTTATTCCTTCGTCGCTCCTCCGCCTGTCCTTTGACCAGTTTAGTCTTCGGCTGGATTGTTATCGCAATTTCGGTTACATCGAGTTGCTTGTTTATTCAGTTGTTTACTCCATTTTATCTTCTATGTTTTTGATGCAGTTGATAATGGTCAATAAAGGAGTCATCCAAAAAATAGTTTTTTTTGAAGGTCGTTTTCACCATCGGTCTTGCAAAGAAGGCTATCAAGGAAAAAAAGAGTTGTCCTTTGCTTCTGAACCCCTTGCTGCTGGTTACAGCATCGAATGAATCTGGTGTTAAGGGAATTTTTGCATTGTTGAAGGCTTTGAGAAGCACTGAGACAGTATTTTTAATTCAATATGCAGTCCAATACTGAGGGCAATATTTTACAAATTTTTATAGAGACCATTGGAAGGTAATATTCTTTGCAAATCAAAGAGTCTTATTTGTCGGCCTTACAATTCAATGGGCACATAGCGTTTTTGTCACTGAAGTACACATGCATTTTTCATTGTAGTGACTGAATGTGGCTATCACTGCTTGTATTGCACGCCATTTAAGGAATGAGAAAAATTTCTGGAAGAGCTTTTTCAGTTTCTAACTTTGTAAATCGGGAAAGATAATAATTATTGTTTTTTCGGTGTGTGACCTTTCTGCGCATTTTTTTTTTTGACTTTTTTTTTT